TAGACGCAAATTGAATGATTAAGTGCCATGTTTACATGTGTAAATTGTGACTGTGATTCATGTTGTGCTAAGTAGCTGTTTTTTTTTTGTATTTTAGTTTTTTACCTGCTCATCATGTTCGAATAAACGTACTATTCCTTGATGACTGGTTTATCTTGCTGATTTTTGAGTCAGTACAGTAAAAAATCCCCTGGATTGTGCATCATGGAGTCAGATCTACAGAACTGCACCTATGACCCTGACATTTAGGGCTGGGACGATACTGAACTTAGCCGATCCGATACATATCACGAAACCTTAGGTGCGATACGATACATATCACGATACATTTAAAACCAAATAAAACTAGATAATTTTTTTAGAACAATTAATTTTGAACAAAACAGTGTGTGAAAATAAACTTATTTAACAAATGAACTGGGTATTTGAGTTTCTTGACTCAAATTGACTGTTGTTCGTGCCCCGTCTTTTTCATATACCGGAGTCCAAAAGTGTCCCAGACACCCGATTTACTGCAAAATTGGTTTCGTTGATTTGATGTAATCTGGCGTGTCGGACGCCATTTTGACGCTTATATTTAGAATTCTGTATCAGCAAGACGTGTGTACTTTATTTGTGTTTGTTAAAACGTCTTGATGAAACGGACTTAAGGACTAAAAATTTCGAATTCTAAAGCCCGGAAATTTTTGGAAATAAAAAAAAAGTGCGGTAAGGTATCGTGATACTTAATTATATGAATCGATCCGTAGTTCGTCAAAGTGAATTCTGCGATGCATCGGTGCACCGGTGGATCGTCCCACTCCTACTGACATTGTTGTGAAAAGAGAAGCAACTTCCATGGGATCCTCTTCTATCTCCCAGTCCAGTTCATTACTAGCCCGGAAGCGTGCTCTGGCCGAAGCTGCCCGTATAAAGTTGAAATTCGCAGAGACCGAGGCTTTAATTAATAAACAACAAGCTATCATCGAGGAAACCCGCAAGTTAAATATAGCCAAGGCAGAGCGGCAAAACAGTGAACTAGAGGCTGATTTAAAGCTACTCAGTCGACAAAGTGAAGCAGCCGCAGCCGCTGCAGAAGTGGAGGCCTTAGAGTATGTGGATGTAAGAAACAGTGTTCTTGACATTCCAGTGTGTGATAAGAAGAAACTTGTAAAACAGTATGTAGAAAAACATTCATCACATTCAAGTGTACACGTGAAAGAAGAACGACATTCTAACGTTCAAGATTGTAACGAGATATCATCACTGTGTTCAGATACCCCCAGAGATAGTCGAAAGTTTGTACCGATTTCCACACTTGCACCTGCTGTACCTGAACCCTGTGCAGATTTGGATAGTGTTTCACGGAACTCTGTGCCAGCTGGGACGCCATTGAATCCTCAGGCAAAGGCATTTTTTGCCAAGGCTCATACAAGCACGCCTGCTACCAGTGATCTGAAAGACAACATAATGGCAAACGAACTTACCCGTTTCCTCATGAAGAAAGATTTACTTCTATCTCGTTTTACGGTATTCAACGATCAGCCGGTGTAACGTTGAATATTGACCCGAGTTGAAAATTGACCCGGGGGTCATTTTTCAACGTTGAATATTGAACCGGGGTCATTTTTCAACGTTGAATATTGAGACCAAAAGTCGTTGAATTTATACCCGGGTTCATTTTTCAACAGCTTGATATTTTTTTTTCTTACACCTGATGACGTCAACAAGTTGAAAATTGACCCTGTTGAATATTGACCCCACCTCAAAGTTTGAACATTTTTTTAAGCTGGAAAATTGTTTTACGGGATTTATCAGTATCACTTTATTTATATTTTGGTTTCAATTTTTTTCCCTTTTCAAGAATAATAGAAATAAACATACAGTATCACCCCGTGTATACATGTACATTTTGAACAGTGCACGGTTTTAGTTATCTTCAAGCATGACACCTTTATTTTTGACTATACTTTCCAAAATCCATGGCATCCATAAATAACTACAAAACAACGAATAGGGCAAAAAACAAAAATCTTAAAAATCTGCAATCTAGAAAGTAGCCCTATATATATTGATCAGATGGGTGGAACATCCCATCTAGTCAAATACAGTATAAAAATAACAAAATTTATAGCCTAAAAATTAGAATGAAACACATCGACCAAAATGATTCCAATGATACGTTATATTTGTAAAAAGAGCAATATAGCGACCATAGCATGTAAGTAATGCTGACTTAAAATAAATTGTTGAAATCCCTGTAACAATTAACTTATTTGTCAGTAGACTGTCTCGGCTTGATTGCTTTCGGACCATAACCTTGAGAATGAGATTATTCTTACTCTAAAACATTCTTATTCTATAGAATGTGATTCCTATTTGATTACTTGTTATTTCTATTCCATAATTTGTAATTTGTATTCGATAAATTGCTATTCCAATTACAGGAAATGTGACAATATGATTCATATATCATAAAATTTACATTTTTTTTTCTCGAAAACACGCGTTTCCTATTCGATGTCATTAATATTTAAAACAGCCGGCTGCTAGTCGCTAATTTTGTCATTCCTATCCGATATTTTTTTTTAATTCGATAATTATTTGGTTTATATGCAATAAAGTTGTTGTTCGAAAACATACTAGCATCCATTTCTATTCGAAAAAATACGATTCCTATTAGATAAACTTCTCATCTTATTACATAATTTTATCTCTATGATCTCCTATGCGATGTTTTTTTTTTCTTTTTCAATAATTGCCATGATTGCATTCTGGGAAATATGACAAATTAAACTAGAATTGGTTGTAAACTCAATTAAATAGGAATGTAAAGTTTCACATTATTATCGAATATAAATCATTTTATCACATAGATTGACAAAACAAAATTTGAAAATTTTGGGAATAAGGCACAAGTTTTCTCTCTTCAAGACTTAGAGACTAGGGATCAGCATAAATTAAGCTGTTGCTGTTTAATATTAAATAAACGTGTTTCGTTTTATATATTGGTGGAGTAATTATAGAGGATTAGTTATTCAGAATGCTAATTTAATTATTTGATTATATCTCGTATCAATTTTTGACAAAGATATCCAATATGTTTTAATATAGAGTACATGTAGATCCTAATTGAAGACTTCAAGGCATTGTTACGTATCATCAATTACGGAACATTAAAAAATATTAATACAAGTTGTAGTAATTTTTTTTCAGAAACATCAAGTCATATTCTATATTATCTTTAAAAAGAAATCAATACTATTTCTGTTTTTACAAAAAATTATCTCCATTTTAACACTTGTTCTATGAGAAAACCAGGCGGGGGGGGGGGGGGGGGGAACCGATGTCACTCACTTTAATGAAATTTTCTAAAAGGACTCCTGCAATATAGCATATGATCACAAGAAAAAAAAACATGAAGTTAATATGCATTTCAGATTCTATAAATAGTAACTCAAGTCTTTATGCTGTTATATACTTAATCATGTGATCAAGTCAGAGAGCTTAGAATAAAATGTGATATCACCTTTTCGTGCTAAATAGGTGCTATCACCTATTTGAATGAGTGGTATCACCTATTCGAAAAGGTGATATTACTTATTTGAGTTTCTTACAACAGTCAATAATGAATGATCCCTATAATATATAGATTACCACTGGAACCAAGAAAATTAGGACTACCCAGTTTTCATGCGTTTTCTACGATTTTCTTGTTGTTTGCATGATATATAAGTGAAATAAATTAATTTGTAAGCAAAAAAAAAAAAAAAAAAAAACTACAGCTGTTCGACGGGAAAAGGTGATATCACCCAACCGAATAGGCGATATCACCAATTCGAATAAGTGATATCACTTTTCGAATTGGTGATATCACAAATTCAAATCAAATAGGTGATATCATCTATTGGAACAGGTGATATCACTTATTCAAATAGGGGATATTACTTTTTCCAGTAAATACCAAAACGGGGCCTCATACCTATGAATTAAGTCACAGTAGTGAAAACCCAATTATAAATATGTGTTTTTATGCTGTTGAATTTTGAACCGGTTTCATGATCAAAATTCCACGACCCGGCTCAGTTTTCAACGGATTAGGGTCTAAATTCAACACCTTTGGTCTCAGTATTCAACGTTGAAAAATGACCCCCGGGTCAATTTTCAACCCGGGTCAAAATTCAACGTTACACCGGAATCATTTCCTGTATGGAAGTCCTCCTTCACCCATATAGCGCAAGATCTGGGCGTAAACCCTAGAGAGGAATTGGATCTTTTATTGAAATGGCTCGGGCCAGAATCGTCCAAGCATGCGCATAGCATAAGGATCGCATATGCAAGTGACCCAGCCAAGGCAGTACAGAAAGTGTGGGAAAGACTAGATGACAGATATGGTGGCCCTGAACTTATTGAGTGTGCCCTAAAACAAAAACTTACTAACTTTCCAAAAGTGACAAATAAGGACACTGATAAACTGTATGCCCTGTCCGACCTGCTGTCCGAGATTGCATCAATTAAAGAAAACCCTACCTATGCTTCCTTGCTTGCATATTTTGATTCATCGTCTGGAGTCAACCAAGTTGTAGCAAAGCTACCATACAACTTGCAGATGAAGTGGATGGACAGAGCTTCAAAATATAAGACTTCACAGAAAGTTTCCTTTCCACCGTTTACGTTCTTTGTGAATTATGTAAAGGAGATGACCAAAATGATGAACGATCCGAGCTTTCAGGAAACTCTTCAGCCTACACCAAAGAGGGAAGAAACGTTTCGCACCACCCCACTTAGACAACCTATAAGAGTTAAGAAAACAGATGTGAGTTCTGAAAGCATATGTCCAATTCACAAGACGTCTCACTCCCTTAACCAATGCAAAACCTTCAGAGCAAAGCCAATTCAAGTTCGCAGAAAATTTCTCAGTGACCACAAAATATGTTATGGATGTTGTAACTCAGATAAGCATGTGAAACGTGATTGTCAAGAGAGAACAAAATGTGATGACTGGCAGTGAGGATCATCCATCAGCTTTACATGTGACAAGCAAATCCAGCCGAGAAAAACAGCAAGAGGAGAATGAATCATCACTCCTAGCTTCTCCACAGCACGGCGGGGAGGAAAACAATTCTCGTGGGACTCAACGAGTAATACGAACTAAGTGTACTGAAATATGTGAGAATTCTTCATTTCCTTGAAAGTCTTGTGCAAAGGTACTGTTGGTAAGGGTGTACTCTTCCAGTCACCCTGACAAGTCTGTGTTGACTTACGCCCTCCTCGACGATCAGAGTAACAGATCTCTAGCTACTACTCACCTTCTTGATCTTCTGGATGTGAACTCAGAAGAGGTGGAATATTCACTTGCGTCATGTGCTGGTTCCTTTGTGTTTTCGGGACGTGTGGCTGAAGACTGTGTCGTTGAATCTCTAGATGGAAGCGTCAAGTTGAACTTGCCGCCACTGATTGAATGCAATAACATTCCTGATGTGAGAGAGGAAATACCGACACCGGAAATTGCACGTCATTACACTCATTTGATGGACATTCAGGAATTTATTCCTCCGCTCTCAGAAGCACGCACTCTCTTGCTGATTGGACGCGACTTGCCTGGCGCTCATCATGTTCTTGACCAGAGGGTTGGATCAGGAAACGAGCCATTTGCCCAAAGGCTAAGATTGGGATGGATCATTGTGGGTGAAACCTGCCTAGGAAAAGTTCACAGAAATCGAATATCGGTGAATAAAACATTTGTTCTTGATAATGGACGCCCTACAGTGTTTAGACCATGTGAAAACAGGATTCATGTTTCTGAGAAGTGGGACAACATAGGTTCGTCAGTATTCTCGAGGAATAAAGACGACAACAAGGTCGGCCTATCCATTGAAGACAAGCAGTTCATTCGAGTGATGGAGAAAAGTTTACACAAGGATACAGAGGGAAATTGGGTAGCACCTCTACCGTTTCGTGAAAACCATCCTCCACTGCCTAATAACAGACTACAGACACTTAACCGTGCTAAGAACCTCCATGCTAGTCTGTCCAAGGATCCTGTGAAACTCCAGCACATGGTGACATTTATGCAACGCGTATTTGAAAGCAAGCATGCAGAAGTAGCTCCGCCATTAACAAGTAATGAAGAGTGTTGGTACCTACCGATATTTGGGGTGTACCACCCCCAGAAACCAGGTTAGATCCGTGCTGTTTTCGACTCGTCTGCACAATTTCAAGCAGTCTCCCTGAATAGTGTCCTCCTATCTGGACCTGACCTTACAAACAATCTGCTTGATGTCCTTCTGAGATTTCGTATGGAGCCTGTTGCCATCTCGGGAGACATACAACAAATGTTCCACAGCTTTCTAGTTGAAGAAACCCATAGGATCTACCTGAGGTTTTTCTGGTATGAAGACAACAATCCAAGTAACAGTCTTGTAGAGTACCGCATGAAAGTACATGTATTTGGGAATCGACCTTCCCCGGCTATTGCAAACTACGGACTCCACAAGACAGCAGAAATCAGTCTTGAGAAGTATGGAAGTGATGTGAGGGACTTTATTCAGAGAAACTTTTATGTGGACGATGGATTAATATCCCTACCCACATCAACTGAAGCAATTGACTTAATGACGCGTACTATGTCTGCCCTTCAGAATGAAGGAAACCTACGCTTACATAAGATTGCTTCGAACAAAGAAGAGGTCATTTGACTTAAATCCCAGTTTAATCCTAGGCTGCGCTGTACAGGAAGTTGGTCACTGCCAATGTCCAGATCCTTAAGGTCCTTTGCAAGGTCATCACTTGCGAATGCACTCATGACCTCTTCTTTATTCGAAGCGATCTTATGTAAGCGTAGATTTCCTTCATTCTTAAGGGCAGACATAGTACGCGTCATCAAGTCAATTGCTTCAGTTGATGTGGGTAGGGATATCAATCCATCGTCCACATAAAAGTTTCTCTGAATGAAGTCTCTCACATCACTTCCATATTTCTCAAGACTGATTTCCGCTGTCTTGTGGAGTCCATAGTTAGCAATAGCCGGGGAAGGTCGATTCCCAAATACATGTACTTTCATGCGGTACTCTACAAGACTGTTACTTGGATTGTTGTCTTCATACCAGAAAAACCTCAGGTAGATCCTATGGGTTTCTTCAACTAGAAAGCTGTGGAACATTTGTTGTATGTCTCCCGAGATGGCAACAGGCTCCATACGAAATCTCAGAAGGACATCAAGCAGATTGTTTGTAAGGTCAGGTCCAGATAGGAGGACACTATTCAGGGAGACTGCTTGAAATTGTGCAGACGAGTCGAAAACAGCACGGATCTAACCTGGTTTCTGGGGGTGGTACACCCCAAATATCGGTAGGTACCAACACTCTTCATTACTTGTTAATGGCGGAGCTACTTCTGCATGCTTGCTTTCAAATACGCGTTGCATAAATGTCACCATGCCAGTAAATGAGTGGCGTTGATTAATAGGTAGATGTTTTATTTATCTGTCTGATCGTAGTTCTGCGCCATGAGGGACGAGGGACGGAATCGAAGGACGCGGTGTAATTTTAGAAAGAGGAAATACCCATCTACTTTTAGATACGCTTAATCAATACAGCGCGTTCGGTATTCTTTTTTATGTGGCAGACTTTATTTTTCAACTAGGAAAAGTAAGAAGATCCTCTAGCTTCATAAAAGAAAAAAAACACCATCGTTTTGTTTAATATAATTTAGAATTGTGCAATACCCCCTCAGTTAAAAATAGCACACGTTCCGGTGAATGAGGATATATATGAATCGCAGTTAATCCCGACAGTCATTAATTAGCTGAGCTTTTAAAGAGAGTTGGTTTATCGTGTTTAACACATCTATATAAAGATATTTGTCCAGGTAAACCAGCGCGCTGATGGAGCGGAACGACGAACACAGATATGGTGACTGCGGGAAAGTTTTCAAGCAGAAATCTCATTTAAATAGACATCATAGAACCATGCATGGAACGCCGTATACTAATGTATGTCCCATATGTCATTAAAAATTCAACAGGAAAGACAACTTTACCCGACATATCAAAACACATGGAGAAAAAAGGAGGGTGGATCAAAAACAAACAAACCACGCCGCTGAAACAGACGAAATTAAACCAGTCAGATATGAAAAGACGGCGATATGAAGAAAATAGGTTACAGGATGCAGAAAACAATCCTGCAGATATCCCTATGCAAAATAAAGGGAATGAGATGAGTACAAAGTGTACAGGGAAATACATCTGGTGTACCCAGATTAAACCTTTATTAACCATTTAAAATTCTGTCATTCATGCGCTGAGACAGGTAGAGAATACCACTCGTGTCATCGCCCTCTTCCAGAACGATTTTACAGTCAGCGAACGGATGTATGCGATTCCTGTGTGAATAGACGACATAGATGGAGTACTCAAACTGGTGCTGGAAGCAAACAAGCATTTAAAGGAGCAGTAGATCCCGGAAACAAAAGTACTGGAACCAAACCCGGGAAATCTATGCGATATTCTTCAGTTTTTTAAAGACAACAGTGACCCTATCCAATATCTTCTTCGTACTACCCTGTGGTCAAAATGAGGTATCAAATGGTTTTTGACTTTGTATGTCAAACTTGTCAAATACAATGAAAACAATGAGGCTGTCTATGCTGAGCCAACATTGAGGTCTATCAATTTTACACTGACAAATGGAGCAGAAATCAAAGAGCAGCTGGCTAAAGTTTACAAAAATTTGTATGATAGTTATCAAATATTTGAAAGAGACGGCAGTGGATGGTCACTGTATACAAAGTGCTAATCGAAAATATACTTGATTTGGATCACTAGCTATATTTGTTTGGGTCATTCGAAGTTTCTGTCTGCACATTTAGACAAAAAATGTGCTTTTATATACGTTTTCTTAATGATAATAAAACTACTTTAAACAATATGAGACTTCTTCTTGGTATATTTAAATATAATCATATTTATGTTTCATCTACCCCTCCATAAACATCGGTAGCACGGTTTTTTCACGCATCTAATGGTCATTTTTCGACAAATTATCCTCTGGAATGGACTGTTGACATTTTTTCAATAAAACATTTATTGTAATGTTTAATATAAATCTTTATCAAACGTAAGCTATCAAATTCGACCACAAGGTCTTCTTTATAACCTGGCAATTACATCAAATATGCACTTACCCTACTTTTCAAGAGCTATATTATGTTTGCGTAGAAAATATCCAGAAAGCTATCTTTGTTGTCATGACAGCTATACTTTTTTCGAGTATACATATAGCATTTAAGCCTGGTGCATTTAGTAAAATAATATATTGACGTTACTTTGTGTTTACAACAGTACTGTACAATATTTTCTTCCAAAGACCCCTCTTACATTTCAGCAATGGCCCAGTCCGTAGGAGGTCCATGTGTCATATGCTCACCTTGAGCATTTTATGCTCAATCGGTGAGTGTGATACAAATGTATTTATATAAATAATAGGAAAAGTAGTGTGGCCTCTTGGTAAGTTACTAAGGAGAGTACAAACACACAGACACCTGACGTTACTTATTTTTCTTTTAATAAAATAAATTTATACCCTTATCTATAACATTGTCCTTTATAAAAATTTGAATTTTTCAATTAAAATTTGTATATGACAATTAAAATTAAGAATTTTCCTGTTGCTCACCAATTTACATGTAATATTGTAAAATTTTAAGGATCGATTTCAACTCTTAGACTTTACATATACACATGATTTTGTAAATATTTTATGGTATATATATATGCATGCAAGCTTTGATTTGATAATTTAATGATTAATTAAAACGCATTCAACTTCAAATCTTAATGCCGCTTTGTTCATTCAGCATTATAAGCGTTAAGAAGAGATTGCATGAAATATTTAAAAAAAAATTCATGTAATAAAAAGAAAAGAAATGGTTACCACATTTCTCAAAGAAATGCAAGGTTCTGTTTTTCATAGAAATCATAACATATTCCTGAAAATCAGTGAACTTCCGTAACTATATTCTTTTATCGTAGACTGACTGTTAAGAGTTTGCGTTTCTTGGGAAGGAGGGAGGGGGTTATTTTGATATGGTTACTTTAATATTCTTAAATTTTAGTGATTTTGATAAAATTATCAGGTCTTGATCCCTTAATCTTTATCCGCTTTTCTTGATCTGTCTATAGGGATATAATGCCAAATTTTAATTAAGGTCTTCCGTTTCCAACGGAAGACCTTCTACTGATTCTGAAGATTAAGATTATTAAGGTCTTCCGCTCAGGCGGAAGACCTTCTACTGATTCTGATGGTTAAGATTATTCCCTATTATTCTTTTTTTTTCTAGACGCCAACTTTGAGACCTCGTAATTCGCTCATTTCTGAACGGATTTCGCTCAAATTTTCAGAGTTTTTGGACGTTACGAAACTCAATTAAAATGTTTTCATACATTTCAAAAATTCCCTTCCGCTTTCGAGTTATTTCCCTTTAAGTGAAAATTTGGTACTGTTCGTTTCCAGACAAAGGCTCAGAAACGACAAAAGCTGGAGCAGAATGTCTACTGCATTTAAATACTAGAAGAATTGAAGTTGTGCCTATCGGTTTTTCTTTTTCGATTTCTGCGCTCCAAACGGTGCTAGATAGGGGTCAAAAATGAGAATGCCCAAAAGCGCCAAATTTTACATATATTTCCTTGTATATCTTTTAAACTAAAAATAATTTGTTAAGACATATTTCACAAATATTGTGCATAATTTTAAGATCTATCATTTGACATCATTAAAAAGGGGCTGGCCCCTCAAATTAGGGGTCAAGGGCGCTCGAAAGTTTTTGCTTTATAACTCAAAAACGGTAAATATTTCGATATGGTTATTGATTTGAAATGGGTTCTTTAACATCTTACTGATCTCATAAAAACGTTAATTTGTTCGAATCTTGTGTTATTGAATGAGCAGCAAACTTTATGTACAGGTAACTGATTAGTTTTATACGGCAAGTGAAGAATTCTTTATGCGTACGCGTATAACACACGTGTATAGCTGAAATAAATTGGATAAAAATATATACTTAACTAAACTGAAAGTTAAACATTGTTGAAATAAAGTTTTTAACGTATTCTCTAGCTGGATGTCATACAGATTATTCAGAGACAACTTTCTCCTTGTATTTAGTTTGAATTACAAAGCGGGAGATAGGAAAAATACTTATCATCTCTCATTCGATTGATACTCAATGTTGCATTATTTATAAATAAAAGAAAAAATAAGCTTTAAATAATTCATTGTCATTTTATTCAGGCATCGTGAATTTTCCTCGGACCATGACTGCTTTGTTTACAGTTGTGCAACCTGTTTATCGATCGCACATGCATTGACCTATATACATTCCGGAGGTCAACATTACCGCTCTTTGATTTTTACGCGAGTCCTAGAGTTATCTAAAACGATGCTAGTCATCGATTTACTCAGTTTAAAATCAAGAATTTATTATTTGCGTAAATCGTAAGAATATTTCTAGACACAAATATAAAGGTTTTCTTGAACATGTACGAGTATTAAAAGATAAAATGTCTGATTCTATTCTTTGACGAATGAATAAAAGGCGCTGCGATTTTGCTCAGGTACAGATGATTTCTCTGGACGAGTCCATTGGTTACACTGAAAGGTGACGCAGGATGACCTATCGATAACTCTGCCAATTTTGATAGAGATTGTAATTGCACATGTACATAAATTAATGTTGAATTGTACCCTTGTGAAGTCCATTATAGTTTCGTTATTTAAAGAATCGGGGGATATCACTACTGCAACACAATTGTTTTTAATTTGAACGGATGATTCTATATTACTGGAAAGGTACACATTTTTTAGGCGCTGTCGTCTCCCTCTCAACTTTGAAGTAATTGCAATCGTTATATGTATATGGGCCTATATCAAGTTATTCTAATTGTTGCTTAATTTATTTCAGAAAAAATTGCGATGTTGTTAAAAGTAGCAATTACAATTAAACATGAAGAATGCACACAGTATATTGTAAGTGGAAGTGACGTTTTCAATTCTCATGAAAATCGAAAATAAAATTAAGTAACTTTGAGTTTTGCATAATTTGCTACATAACTTATTATTGTATTTTTCCGCATGATATGCTCATAAATTTCTTTGATTTCCTCAAATAAAAAGCTAGAATATCACAATGATACGATTT